TCGAATCCCGGTGGGTGCGTACTGATGAAGAGTCCCAAACTAGGACGAAACAGCTGTCCAGTACTCCTTTCAGGTTTTCCAATGGTTCTCTAACTAATGTCAGCTCATAATGAAAATCCTGTAACCAATCAAATCCCTACAAACCAACACTTGAAAAACTTTTAAGCTTTTCAATTCTTGATTTACTCAGAACAGTGTGCAATTTTAACTTCCTAATTTTTCTCATAATATTTGAATGGGAAATTCAGATGAATTATTCTGAAGTTACGCTTAAAGAAGAACAATAGCGCAGTTTACTCGAGCAAATAACTATTTCATTGATTACTAGAGTATCCCTTTATTCATGCGTTTAATGACATTCAATGAATGGGGAAGTAGGAAATGAATTGAGTAACTTTTAAGTCACTGAAGCATGATACACACATAGCAACCTTAATAATGATTATGATAACGCCTGTTTATATTGGGTTTGAAGCTTTAAGTCTAAGTTTTGTGCTAGTTGCCAGTCCACGGAGGAATTTATGACGGTCTGGAGATTTGAACTCATCTTACTCACTGCTTTAGTTATAGAATTTTTGAATGATAAGATTACCTTTAACCAACTAACATAAATTCGTAGTCCACCGTGGTGGGAGGTAACCTATATGAGTGTCAAGATTAGAGTATTTACAGACAGAATTCCGTCAACAGCAAGACTGACGAGTAGATATACGAGATTGATTCCCGCCGAAATAGTTGGTCGATAAGCCGCATATGTTATGTATATATATTCTAGTATGGACCACTGTTTGTTCGGAAAAAAACATTTTTCGGAGAAGAACAAGAAAACACGTGTTAGATGATATTGGCTTTCATTATGATTAGCTTTACAATTAAGTTATTCACTGGTGGCTTTGAAAAAGGATTAAAGTATATCCTATTTTTTTTCGTTCATATTTCAGCATGTTCTAGGCCAAAACATATAAACAATATATGGATTAACTCTATGCAGGATTACGTTGTATAATGAGCAAGCGCGTGTTATGTTATTTATCTCTTAATATCAGGTGAAATTATTTTATAATCCTCATTTCAATATATATATATATATATATATATATAACTCGGAGATATTTTTAACAGCCTTGTTCTACTTTTGTTTGCATAAATATTATCGCAAAACATACTCTCAATGTGCTTCGATATTTCGGTTGAGCAAGATGATGCAAAGTTTAGCAAACACTGTTTATTGCAAAATCTATGAATCCTAGACCACAAAAGCCGCCCATGCTTTGCGTCCTGAAAAAAACTACTCTACATGAGTCTTCAATTCCATGGAGAAATATCTGTGGAAACACTAAAAAATCGACTATCACGCTCACTTAAGAAGACCTCCTTCGCAGCTGAACTACGACTAACCTTCTCCACAAAACCTATGATTCATGTGAACGTGAAGGATAAGCTACCACTGCTGGCCCCATCAATGTGTATTTATCAATTCACCTGCTCGCGTGGAGCCAGGTATGTCGGCCGTCCACAGCGCTCGCTTTCCAAACGTATCACCGAACATTTACCAACATGGTTTTAAAAGGAGCAGCTCCATCTTAGAACATCTGATAGAATCCGGATACCAAGCCTCACCCCAAAGAATCTTCAAAGTCGTCTACAGAGTGAGAAGTAGTCTTCCTAAAGGTGTATGAATTAGACTTCTTCAAACTACGGAAGCAATGGCGATTCACTTGCTAAATCCTGAACTCTGCATACAGAAGAATTTCGTTGAATCACTACACTTCCAATGGACGTAATCTATCTTATTACCCGACAAGTAAATTCGACCGAATCTTTTTTTTCTGTCACTTCATTAGTGTTATTTTGTCTTCTCAATTGTAATATTTTACATTTTCAACTTTCCTGTTCTCTACCCCCACCCGAATTAATTTTTACCCCTCACTACCACTGTTACTGACTTGACCAACGCTCAATTTCTAGTCATTTATGTTACGTCATCCAACTTATTTGCTCATTTTCAGTTCTAATTTAAATGGCATTATTCTCTACCCCACTTCTACTTAGTCTCCACCTGTAATTACCTCTGCTGCTACCCAGACCTAAGTTGAAACATTTTAGTCAGTTATATTAGTCATCTAACCTACTAACTCAATCTTACTTTAGTTGCTGTATGATTAACCTTGTTTCTCTGTTAGATCATTCTTGTATTACCTGATCAATTATCTAAACTTGACAAACCTCATATACACACACAAATAATTATATATAAATGCGATTGTACAGTTATGTGGATGAATTCGCCGAAAAGAGTCTCTTCGCTGAACGTCTTCTCTTTTTCATAAAAATGTTTTGATTTAAGAAAGAGCACGAGGGAACTTGTTGGATGTCACCGACATAAAGTCTTTCCTCAGTAAGTGGCCAGTTTAGTGGCCGTGTTTGTCTGCATACAGTTTAAGCATTTCGAACTAAAGTTGTTTGATTTTATGTCACCGAAGCCTGGAATTTAGTCTTTTGTATTTCATGAAATTCACTATACGGTTTTGATTTGTTTTGGAGCATGATCACGGGTTGATATCAGTTAAGAGAACTGTTGAAAACCATGGATTACTGGACAGCTGTTTCGTCCCAGTTTTGAACACATCAGTAGTACACACCGACTGTGTTTCGAGTTCAGGACTTTCTGGTTACAATGCAAGCACATAGACAGTTCAGCCACTTGGACCCAATTCAGTGGGACACATGAATTCTAACTTCTACCAGTTCTTTGAGCTCGCCTTGTAACCGGAAGGTCTTAGATTCAAAACACGGTGTGTGCGTACCACCATACTTAAAAACGTAACCCTCCGTTTTTCAACCTTTCACATTTTTCATAGGTTGTTTAATGAAACCCCTAATTTGTATAAGTATAGAATATATGGCCAAATGTAAGTGTTTCTTGAGAGTCACTCAGACATTTGGTATTTTTTTCTTTATTCACTTATCTAAAAGGTTAAGGGTGAAACAATGGGAAAACTATGATAAATTATTCACTTATTCTGAGGGATGTATCTGTTTAGTTATGTGCTTACGGTGACTTGTGATATAGCTGATAAGGAAAGAGGTGCGTTGCGTAATTTCTAAATTACCAAGCAAGATTGCCTACAATAAGATGTTTTTTGCTCACAAACATCCATCAGTTATGTAACTGTATCATTTCCTAATCCATCACATTAAGTCAGGAAGTGACTACTTGCAAATCTCGCGCTATTTTAAGAATCTATTTTGATAATTTAAAGTTCATTACATGATTTTCTTTGATTATCCATTTCAAATGGCACATCAATCAAAATGCTAATTTTGTTTGTTCTAACAAGATTTCACATTAAATTTAGCGATACATTTTCTGTGAACAAAAGGTAAAACTTTTTTTTGATTGGACACTAGTCAGTAACCAGTGTAATGTGTCTAGTCGTATCTTTGGTGCAGATTGAATTCTATCAGTCGAGTCTGGCTCGCCATCATGGTTCACTGTGAATTGTTGGTATTAGATAGTTGGAGGTGATCGGCCACAGGAAGCCTTGAACCTACGTTTCGTGCTAGTTGGCACTCACCAGTCAGTAATCAATCACCGTGAGTCAAAGTATCTAGTCCAATACCACAGAAGGTCATTCATGAGCCCGAATAGCTCAGTGGTAATGTTTCTGACTGCATCACTGGGTGACGCGAGTTCGAATCTCAAAAAGGACATGAGTTCCTTCAAGGCTGCAGATTTTTATTTATTTATTTTTTTATTTTGATTTACAGCTTGATTCCACACCGTATTTTCAGTACAAGTATGGAATTTTCAGCATGGATATCGGTAGCCCAAATTCAGGCCGACCATAGATATCGGGTGTGCGCCGGCAGGGGATCGAACCCCGGACCATGTGCATGGTCGGCGAGAGTCCTAACCACTGTGCCACCGACGCACACTAGCCTTGCTGGCTAGTGAGTGCTTTGTAAGATAATGAAAGGAGGACTGGGGAAGAACAATGCGAATATTATGTAAAAATTGGGAATTTCAACGTAGGTTTTCTGAATATTGGCATAAGTGAACATTATTTCGCAAAATAAACAATTCGACTTTAAATTACTCCCATGTTTTACAGTTACATTGGCTGCCTTTAACCAGATGACGATCCTGCAGCATTCCACAATAGAAACTTTCGGATCTTCCTGCAAGATTTTGAATCCTTTTTTATGTCAGAGGGCGTCTAGAATCCGATGGCGAAAATGTGGTGTTAAGGACACTGCTCGGGGTCTGGCGAAAGACGCTTACAACAGTTCCTGTGGCTCTGGCACAGAGACTTCGTGAATGTAAGTTGGTAAGCGACTGACTTTAGAGTTTGACAGCCCCAGCAGATAGTTAGGTGCTATTGAAGAAACTAAGCAGTCTACAACTAGATGCAGATGGAGATCCACTGATTTTTGTACTAACTCTGGAAAAAATCAGTCGCTTTGTTATTCAATATTCTTGCCAAAGATATGAGGCCCACTATGCTACCTAAAGACACATTGTCATAAACACACACCACGAGCTTCCCAACAAAATTCACTCAGTTGCAATGCGAATTTCGATGAAAGAGAAGAATGGAGGTCTTAAGATTTCAGGTTAAAATGTTAATAATTCAGAAATTTTCCCTTTATTCATTGTTCTATTATTTGTAAAGTTAATGTGGAGATAAACTGTTAAGTTACTGTGCATAATTTTTTTGGAAAATGAATCAAGTAAAGTTTCCGGAAGCCCGTAAGCTTTGCGATGTATTTGTTTTCAGCATGTCGTATATATATATCTATTTACTTCTAAGTAAATCGTACCTATGTAATTAATTATCATTGTAAATAATTCGTTGAATAAACAATTCTTCGGATTGGTCAGATGAATAAATTTATTTCCCAAAATTTTATTGAAAGTGTTTGCATAAACCAATCAAAATTCAACCATTAGTAAACCTGTCCAGAATTTACTGTACTTCTGTATACTGAGAAAAGACAGATGATGCCTAAATTTACACATATAAAACCAAGATTATCTAATATTACTGAAATGATTCCAATCCTTTAGGGATTCAACTATGTACACTAATTTTACGAATGGATCATGGAATTTATCCATTTGGAATCAATCGCATCTATTCTCCTCATCGTCTTCATCCTCTCTGGTAGTGACACAATTTGAAGGTACCAACTATAATGTCTATGTGATCCTTAAACATTATATAACAATTCCAATTCTTATTGTTAGTATTCTATGCATAATAGTCACGCTGATAACGGTTACACGACGTGGCCTTTGGCGAACAACAGTCACGTACATTGTTGTACTGGCTATTGTTGATCTATTCACTTTACTATCATTGTGTATCTTATCAATGGATTATTTTATTATACCAGCACTACCTGAAGGATTATATACACGAATGTATCATTTAATTGAAACAATATTAGATGAATTAGTTGATACCTTATTGTTAATATCAAATTGGTTGACTGTACTGATTGCTACTGAACGCTATTTCGCTGTATGTCATCCACTAAAAGTACGTTTCATTGATCGAAGATACCGGCGTATTTTTATCTTCTTTGTTATTTTGACAAGTATACTAATTAGACTACCAGGATTTATTATATTAGGCTTTAGAACAGAGATTAATCTACCGTATATTTTAGTATTATTTCGTAAGCTGTACATATGGATTGTGCAAATCATTTTGCTGTTAATTATTCCATTCAGTATTTTAACATTTGTCAATATTCGATTAATTCAAACTGTACGCTACTCTTCGCATTTAATTAAAAGAAGATATAAAAGGTCAAAAAAAGAGACATCAGTAACCTCGAATTCTGTAAAATCAGAGGCAGGATTACTGCAGAGAATACAATCGTGTTGTTGTTGTATTTCTAGTCATCGCTGTCACACATTAAAATGTAAAATATTCTGTTGTAATTCATTGAATTTAAAAACGGACAGAGTGAACAGTTGTCATCTGCATTCATTGCATCAACAGAATGGATCAAATATAATTATGAATAAAAGTGAACTGTTACAAGCCACTGATTTATCACCAATAAATTCTCCGACTGGTTTAACGGCTAGTGAACCAACCGGTGCTCAAATTGGACGATCACACAGGGAAGAAAAAAAGATTACTATTACTCTAGTTTGTTTAATTATTACCTTTTTTATTTGTCAAGGTCCATTTGTTTTAACTACTGTTATTATGAGTTATAGTGACTCACAATTATACAGATCAGATACCAGTACAATTATCAATAATACTTTATTATTTTTTAAGATGTATACAGATAAAAGTAATGTTGAGACAGAGACAGTGATTAAACCCTTTGACGCTGTCCATTACATAAATTCAATATCTATCATTGCATTAGCTTTGAAAAGTGACCTGTCATTTTTCTTCTACTGTTGGTTCTGTGATCGATTTCTATTCGCACTGAAGAAAATGATGCATTATAATTGTTTGCGACGATCTCGTTATCATCATCACCATCATCATTATCGTCATAATTATTACCATAATCAACAACAACAACATCACAATCACCACCACCATCATCATAATCATCATCATCAACACGGCAGTCATAATCAAACTCGTCAAAAGCATATCCTGTGCAATAGTCATCCACAATTACAGAAATTCACTAAACCTCGACATAATCAAGAAATTATTGAATTGAATATGCCATCCGGTGGCAGTCTGCTGCCTGACTATCAGTTACCTCATCATCATTATAAATATGGTGGTGAATATTATCAATATCGTATCCCGTCTGATATGAGTAGTAGTCAACAGAAAGTTTTGAGGTATAAAAAACCTGCACCACTACCATTCAATCTTTCTAAGCATAAACGTATACCTGTAATTAATTTACCGATGAATTCAAAGTTTTCTTGGTCATCACCAAGTTGTTCAGATAATTCGCATAAATGTTCATCGCCTAAAAAGCGAAGCAGTTCACTTGGTCCTTCGAAAGGTCGAGTAAAATCATTGAATAGTTTAAAAATGAATATGTGAATTAATGTAAACTCATGTAATTTAAAAAAATATGTGATTAACTTTGTTTTTATTTGTTTTATGTATATAGTAAAAATATTATTTATAATATTTTGTTAGGTATGATTGTTCTTATTAATTTGGATGATAAATACATAACAGTAATCTACAGATATGTGTGATAGCAATGTAATAATGGGTTATTGCTTGGGTACTGATCCAAGTAACGTCAGCTGATTCGTACTGATTTAAGTCAAAAGTCGATTCCAGTTGATTGACCGCACACTTTCTCCAAGAAGTGATTATAACTCAAGGAATATACAGGTAGAATTTTCTTTACTGCTGTTATATATGCCTTCAGAGCACTGTTACCTTCTTGATTCAGACCTGTATTGACTAACTTTTTAATTTTATGTCATGAGATATTCTAATTGTGATATGAAGGATGACAGCTAAAAGTATGTGCAATATCTATCTAAATCAGTCAAGATTTGTGATGTTAATTAAAGTTTGTTTTTATATAAATTATTTCAACTTGAATAACATTCGATTTGTCTCAAGTTCGATCACGAATTGATTTCAGTTAATGAACCATCGTTGAATGTTTGTCCTCACACCTAACCTGATGGATCCCACTGGTCACTGGCTGATGACACTGAATTGTGGTTGCACTAAAATCACAAATTCGTAGAAGTTAACATTTATGAACGACTGAGTTGGGTCCCAATGGCTGAATGGTCTACAGGCTCGTCTTGGGTTCGAAACACAGTGTGTGCGTACTGAAAAAGAGTCCTAAAGCAGGCCGGAACAGTTAGCTGTCCAGTACTCCTTGCAAGTTTTCCAATGGTTCTCTAATCGACGTCAGTTCATGATGAAATCCTGTAGCCAGAAAACCCTTTCTATCGCTCCCGATACTTTGATATTTTGCTTAGGATCAGTAGTTCCAGTAAACCGTATGGCACTGATTTTTTATAGTTTAATGTGTAAGTGAAAAGACGGTTTGCATTAACTTTATGATTGCTAAATTATTATACACAGCTATTTATCTACAACTCTTGATATATTTAACTTAGATTAGAATATTTGGATAACATTTTTGCAATATTAATATTAAAACACATAAACAGCTTGATTAGGCACAAATGAAGTGGTAGTTTTTGAATCGCTTTATTTTTGTGATAGAAAATAATGTAACAACAAGTGTTACCACATACTGCAGGGTAAAATGTTTATTATAATTATTCCTTTACGTCCTCAGTGGAAAATACAGCTTCAGACTAGGGGCTTGAAGTTTCTATAGCAGTGGTGATTATTTTTACAGGATGGGGTTGCTAGCCTCATGCCCAACCTTCCTTCTTCACCAGTCTTATTACTGGCTTAGCGAGTTAAAGGAGTGCGTCGGCTGGGGATCGAACCTCGGAGCACCTACATGGTCAGCGAGCATTCTACCGCTGTACCAGCGACACAACAATAGGGTAAAATGTAGAAAACGCGTATTAAGGCGGCATCTGAATCCACACAACTACATAACCAAATAATTGTATTCAAGAAATCCTTTGTAACAAATACACTATCAGTTTGGTTGACTTAAGTCATCCCATAAATCAGCAGTCAAGGTAAGTCAAAAATGGCAGACCTTAGTTAAATAAAAAAATCTTCAGTAGAGTAATACAATCCTACCACAGAAAGAAATGAAATGATATTAGTTAGAATCAACTCAGCAAGGATGAAAAGATAAACTATTAACCAAATCCGTAGTGACTTAATTAAAACCAAACACTTGCACGAAGAATGAATGACTCAACACCTGTTCTAGATATCTGTGAAAAATAACCACATAAGTGAAGCAATAAGGACTGAGAAAATCAATTTTCAAAATTGTGGATTTGCCATAATAATATAATTATAAACATGAAATTGTGTTTAAAACGTTATTTAGTAAATAATATTTTTTGCTGTCTGATACCTGAAAAAATGAAAGAATAGACCAATATACTCAGACGTGGCTGCATTATTTTTGAAAGTCTTTTATGTCCAGTACTTTTAATTCTTGTTTTTAAATACTTTCAAAACTGACTACTGCTATTAGATGGTTGGAGGCAATCGGCCACAGGAAGCTTTGAACCTTGTTTTGGCACTAGTTGGCACTCTTCAGCAAGGTGTATCTGCACCGTGATGATGAGCCACCTAGTATGCTGGCCACATTGCAGTCTCTACTAATACGATCCATTCTGCACCAAAGAAACGACTAGACACATTACACTAGTTAATGACTAGTGTCCAATAAAAAAAGTGACTACTACCATCTAACTCGGTGTTAATCAAACATATTTATTTGCTTACACTGTGGTTATAATGGAATTTTAGAAAGAATATCACTCTTATATATTGTGAGATAAAGTAATTACCTATTTCGATTATTTATCTGACGAAGTGAATTTCAGCTCGGTGTTGGTAAATTACTAAATAAAGCTCTATGGAAAAGCACCGTGTCAAATGAAAGAACCTCCAGTAAAACTCCTGAATTACGTGTTTATTAAGCTACACTATTAATGACTATTTATTTCATTAGTTAACTTAATGAACTTAATTGATGACCGTTATTTTTTGGATTTTTAACTATGGTTAGTAGCGACGGTAGTTTAGTGTTAGAATGCTCAACAAGTGTACATGCAGTCTGTGTTCGATTTCTGGCCAACGCAGCACCAAAGCTCTCCTAGTTTACAAAAAGGTAATAAGTCTAGAAAAGAGGAAAGACTGGGCGCAAGACTAGCCACTTGATTCTGTTAAAACGGCACTACATCTATTGAAATCGCAAAATCTTGAAACTTGTGTTCCAGGTGGTGAAGTTTGTAGGGATTTGATTTCTTTCAAGTTTAATCGTCAATTAATATCAATTGGAAACCAGGGAGTACTAGAGACCTGTTTCGTCTTAGTTCGGGACTCTTCATTAGCACGCACCCACCACCGGGGTTCGAGCTTAGGACCTTCTGGTTACAAGGTGAGCTCGTAGATCATTAGGCCACTAAAACCCTACCAAGTGGGCCATGAATTCCAACTCCTACCAATTAATGGGATAGTAAGACCACTAACCAAAGTCTTCGGCTAGTGTTTGTCCTCAGGCACGACCTGCTGTACCCTACTAGTCACGACTTCCCACTAGAACCCAGGTAACTACCTACCTCAGTAGAGCCGGTTGACAGTGAGCATCTCACTGAGATTCAAATTATGGTTTGTAGGGATTTGATTGATTGTTTACAGGATTTCATCATGAGATGACATCGGTTGCGCTATGTCGTGAATTGGGAGATGTTGGAATTCATGGACTGACCATTGGTTCGGGCGCCAGTGGTTTAGTGGTCTGTGAGCCCATCTTGACACCAGAACGTCCCCGGTTTGAGCCTTAGTGGGTGCGTACTTCTGAGTAGTCTTAAACTAGGACGAAAGTGCTGTCCCATACTCCACTCAGGTTTTTCAATGGTTCTCCAACTGATGTTCACTTATGATGACATCTTGCAATCAATCAATCAAATCCCTACAAACCAATGCTTGAGTGGAAATGGTTTTATTTCATGTATTAGAACTACTGTTCTTTTCCAGGATTTATTTCTAATGTTGAATATTGAGTTTTTTTTTCTTTACCCAGTGACTTCTGTTTCTATTCACTTTGGTCTTCAAGATGATTTATAATTAACTTTCAGCTGGTTTACTAACCGTTATGTTCATTACTAATTCTTAAGTTTCTGAAAAGATTCATTCTGGATGGGTTTTTGGTTTCTGTCAACTGAGAGTCAGTACAATTTGCGCATTTATTTCTTTTACTGTTCACTTCTTTGTCTAAGTTAAAGGTATCCCTGTTGTAAGAACGGCGTCACCAGGTTTTCACTGATTCAAAAACATCAAGCACGTTAAGGTACCGTTTTCGATACATTTACTTTTGATGAGCTCAGTACTGTCGTTGATAAAACCAACTACATTTTATTAAGGATTTACATTACTTCACTTGTTATAGAATCATCGATGCTTAGATGTGGAATGCTCCATTTTTTTCCTAAAGATACAAGTCTATACTTATTTGGAGCTTTTATTCTCGCAAGATCGTAATCGTTCTCCCAGTGACGATAACATGAAAATAGTTTTTCAGAAATAACCTGCTGACACATTTCATCTTATAAAACTGGGGCAAATAATAAACGATACTACTGTACTGTTAGATTTAACTAACATGATAAATGGTGTTGAATTTATTTTTAAATTCCCCGCCTAAAAATCAATTGTCATACTTAAAAAAAGTGAAGCCGTATAGGTTATCCTTGATTTCCCATAATTTAAATACTTGCCTCATAAATGATTTCTGAAAGATAATGTAGAACATGACGGAATTTGGGAAATAAAATTTTTATTTTATGATTAATTTTCCCTTAAACGTGCATTTTGATAACCCATTAACTAACTAACCAACCAATAAAGGCACTACATTATCTTCGATGAGGATAATAACGGTAAATACTAGTTTGTATTCCTTAGAATTTAGCTTTAATTATTTGTCATTTAATGCAAAAAGATGGTTCTGCTTTCTGTGTGGACAGTATAACAGAAAGTATTTGACATTAAGTGTTTCATTATTATTATTTCATCTATTCCTTCGAAGCAGCCATATCTAAGCATCTTGAAATGTGTATGAGACGTCAAGATAAAAATTGCTTTTATCAATCTTTGTAAAAAAACAAAACAACAATTGAATTGAATTCATTTCAGATGCTTTTAATTTCTCAGATTCACATTAAGTTTTTTTTTTGATTATAGCTTGATTCCATACCCTATTTCTGGTACAAGTATGGAATTTTCAGCATGTGATATCGGTAGCCCAAATTTCGCAGGCCGACCATTGATATCGGGTGTGCGTCGGCAGGGGATCGAACCCCGGACCATGTACATGGTCGGCGAGAGTCCTAACCGCTGTGCCACCAACGCAGCATTAGAGTTTAGTTTGTCATTGACGTACTTCAATGGTAAAATTAACTGAAAATAAGTTATTTCAGATCCAGGCACCTATATATATGTATATGTAGCTACGTAGGTGGCACAGTAG